AGAGAGACCATTAGACCAGACTGTTTGATGCAATCCTTTTTTTTTTTTTTGCCTGTCCTATTTGGTTCTTTAGCCGTCAGAATTGTTGTCTGACAGCCAGGAAGGATTTACAAGTGGAGCATCACGGCCTTGCCAAATTGGTCCATTTGATCGACCTTTGTTGTTACTATTTATTTTTGTTTTATTTTATTTTCAGTTGTTACAGATAGGACAGACATGACTGGGGGATAGGAAAGGGAGAAAGAAAGATGAAGGAAAAGAAAAACAGAAGGGAAGAGGGACAGTGAGAAAGGGCACTTAAAAAGAAAGAAATCTCCCGGATCACCTGTTGAGAGAAAAAAAGGAAAAAAGAGAAAACAAGCAAAGAAAGAGCAACATTATAAACACAACACCATCACAATATTCTAGCTAACAGTAAATAACAGTTAATACTAAATATTGAATGTTGTTGTGGAGCATGCAGGATCGACAGCGCACAATTTGCTTTGAGGTAGAAGCCAAGAAAAGTGTACTTTGTGTCTATGAACAGTGAACACCCGTGTAGTAGACTATTTCCATTCTAAGATATTAAACTACAATATTCATTTCTAAAAAGGAAGAAGGAATTGCTATCGAGGCTACAAGAGCTCCTAGAAATCAATGGAATCTAAAAAACAAACAAAAAACCCAACCCTAGGAAATACATTTTTTAATGAGTTACAGTCCAACACCATTTAACCCTTTAAGACCTACCATAGAACCAAGTCCGCCAGAGCTTATATTATATTTTTACATGCTGTGGAGCCATTTTTGGGAGCATTTCAAGTTGCTATACATCAATACAACCATTATAGCCCAAACTTTAATAATATGTCTGCATTAAGTGCATAGTAATTACATAAATTGCAAAAAAGTGCAATAAACTACAAAAAAATTGAAAATCGTTTTTGTTTTTTTAACATATATTTCTAGTTAGAGAAATTTAAGAGGCTTATCCCTCAAAACTGTAAATACAAAAAAGTTGCACAAAATAGTTTCCCACCACAGGAAATTTATTTTGAGTGTCTTCATAGTTTTATTTTTGAAATACACCAATTTTTATACTGCAGGAAAAACGAAAATAAATATTATAATGCAAATTTGCAAAAAACAGCATATGCATCAAAATAAACTATTTCCAGCAGTGCAATATGAGTCCTAAGCATCCCAGAAACGACACAGAAAGTCATAAAGTCAAACATAACTTTTAAAAACACAAGTATAGGCTCATAAGGCCCTGATGGTAAAAAACTACATTTCCGCAAAATGACGTCACTTCCGGTTTCGGGCAGGTCATGGCGGACATGCGATAGTTCACGCTGATGGACGTAGGAAGTGTTACAAACAGCTGATCGGATCGGCAAAGCGTGTTTCTGGAATATTATGTTTTTGTTGCTGCAAGTGCTTTTTATGCAGTTTTTGCAAAGCTATATGTGGAAGGAAACTGTGACCTAGGACAAGCTGATGGCATAAGATGTAAGTACAACTCCTCCGGTTTCATATGCAAAAAAAATTATTGCGCTAGCTTACGTGGTTGCAGTGCTACCGGGATTTAAAAATAGTTACGCAAAATGGAGCGTGTCCGCTCCGACCGGCTTTAAAGGGTTAAATCTCAAAGATTATATTTATTATAACATAGCATACAAATCAACTCTTAATTCTCTAAATCGAACAAATTCTAAGGGGATGAAATGTCCACACTGTTTCTGTGGAATATTAGTGAGTGGAAAATGAAACCTCTCAATAAAAAGATTTTCCTGCAACAAATGAGCTGAGATCCCCGTCAGTGAATATGCAGCATCATCCACAGCTACAGAAAAAAGGTTTTTGTGAACAAAGAAGAATTCCGTATACTGTCATTCATTGTTCCGTATGTAATTTCGCAAACGCCAAATGCAGTGTGCTTATTTTTCACCTGGGTGTAGATAGATAGGCACAAACATTAAATTAATTATCTAAAAATCATCTTTATATGCATTTACCTTCACTGAAATATGAAAAAACAATATATATGAAATGTTATCTTTTCCAAACAAAAGGCTTGCCAACAGAGACAAATCATAGTCAAAATCTCATAATGAAGACTGATAATAAAATTGATGCTAATATTTATCATCCAAATTCTTTAATGATAAGTCACAGCAGCAAGCAATGCACTGCAATCTGTTAAAAGGAAGCGTTTTGTCAGGGTTTGTTACTTTGAGAGCTTAATGATATACCCCTTCCAATACAACTATCATTGTAATAATGAAAAACAGGAGTCCAAGGGCAACCAGGACTGTGGAGGTGACGTTAAGCTGGCGAGCAGTGGCCCCATAATGCCGTGCACCCTCCAAATCTCCAACCACCTTCCGGTCTCTGGCCTAAAAGGACAGAAACATATAGATTGTAAAAGTGTAGTTGGAGTTCATGGATATTAACTTGATCTATATGGTCAAATCAATATAATGTAGGTCATAGTAAGCAGCCAGTTAAAAACTGATATATTTATTCATGCACACAAATGCACACACAGACACAAACACTCAGAAGAATAACAGATGCTCAAAAAACTGATTTAATTAACCTCACCTTGATAGAATAAATGAGAGCTGCAAGTCCAAGACAACAGGGGTTTAAGTAGGCAAAGCAGAGGAGGGACCAGATAAAATGGTCCTTTGGAGGCTCAGTGACGATGTTCACACTGGTGTGCTGAACCAATACAGATCCTCCAGGCTGTCCAGAGGGCCCATCATAGGTCCTCGCCTGCATTGGAACATAAGCTGGAGGTTTCATTGCTCTCACTGGTCTGAGCTCAGCTGCAGTTTGGAGAGAGGAAAGATGTTGAAAAGAGTTACTGACATTGATCATTTCATTTTTGAAGTCTTTGGGCAAAGCAGTTGTCTCTGTTAGAAACTGAACAGAACAGCTGTGTCTTTGGGGTCCAGGTATTTCCAAAAGGTTGTTGTGTCCTCGCAACTGAATTTTTCTTAAATCTTTGAATTATGAATTCACTGAATAAATTAATAAATATAAATAAATAATGTAAATAATATGACTGTGAGTAAATGGTTTGGGACAAAGCACACGATTTTTTGAGGATTCTGCACTCACAGTTGGTGACACAAACTAAGTTAAAAGGAAGTGACATCAAAAATCTGCTTACGCACAGTGATAAAATCTCTTTTCTGCTTCTTACATTTAACAGGTCTGACATGCTGGATGAAATATGCTGAGTGTCAGAGGGCTTGAGCACATAAACATCACCTACCACCCCTCCCCCAATTCTGAAGCCTACATTTAACACAGAACAAATGCAGATGTCGTCTTCTGAAAACTGTACTAACCACCACAGCCACAAAAATTCAATTTTGATTACAACCAAAGAGAAACATAAAGATTCTTATGTCACAACTTCAATATATGGCAGAGAAACTTCAAGAAAAAGTCTTTCACAAGATTCCCCCATTGTGCAACAGCCTCATCATGAAAACAGACAGCATTGCCACACACACACACAGCTACACAGACACAAAAGGAAATGGAAATTAAAAAGTTTTCCTACTTTGAAGTTCATTGTGCCTCTCCTCAGACTCTACTAAGACAACCCGATCTTCAGTTTCCAGTATCACGAAACATGTCGGTCATTGCTCTCAGCCGTCTCTAATTATGTGAGCGTAACAGCGTGCTCAGCATACAGGAATTGAAAGCAGACTGGTTGGTTTCGTTTTACATTTGTGCTGTGCTGTGTGGGTTCAGGAATTTGCGTCATTGGCATGATCAAACAGGATAAGGAAGGAAGTTCAACACAGCCTTTGTTGTTACAGTGATGGTCAGAGATACAGAAGGTAAAACAAACATTGAACACTTTTTTTTTTTTTTTTTTTTTAAATTTTATTTCTGCATTTAAATTAAACATAACATGCTTATACAAATCAACCGAGAACAATTACTGTCTTTAACATTTGTGAACTTATAAGCATGAAAAGAAAAAAAAAGAGAAAAAAAAAAAAAAAAAAAAAAACAACCAAAAAAAATAAAAAAATAAAAAAATAAAAAAAAATAAAATAAAAAATAAAAAAATTATAACAATATTAACTAAATAAAGAGTGAAATAGACTAAAAAATAAATAAATAATAATAATTCACGTGGAGTGTGAGGCATAAATTATGATCAATTATTCTTTTAAGAATTCTAGAAATGGTTGCCAAATCATACAAAAATTCGCCAGTTTCCCCTTTCTATCAAATCTTATCTTTTTTTCTCTTTTTTTTTTTCTTTTCATGCTTATAAGTTCACAAATGTTAAAGACAGTAATTGTTCTCGGTTGATTTGTATAAGCATGTTATGTTTAATTTAAATGCAGAAATAAAATTTAAAAAAAAGAAAAAAAAAGAAAAGTGTTCAATGTTTGTTTTACCTTCTGTATCTCTGACCATCACTGTAACAACAAAGGCTGTGTTGAACTTCCTTCCTTATCCTGTTTGATCATGCCAATGACGCAAATTCCTGAACCCACACAGCACAGCACAAATGTAAAACGAAACCAACGTCTGCTTTCAATTCCTGTATGCTGAGCACGCTGTTACGCTCACATAATTAGAGACGGCTGAGAGCAATGACCGACATGTTTCGTGATACTGGAAACGAAGATCGGGTTGTCTTAGTAGAGTCTGAGGAGAGGCACAATGAACTTCAAAGTAGGAAAACTTTTTAATTTCCATTTCCTCTTGTGTCTGTGTAGCTGTGTGTGTATAGCAATGCTGTCTGTTTTCATGATGAGGCTGTTGCACAATGGAGGAATCTTGTGAAAGACTTTTTCTTGAAGTTTCTCTGCCATATATTGAAGATGTGACATAAGAATCGTTATGTTTCTCTTTGGTTGTAATCAAAATTGAATTTTTGTGGCTGTGGTGGTTAGTACAGTTTTCAGAAGACGACATCTGCATTTGTTCTGTGTTAAATGTAGGCTTCAGAATTGGGGGAGGGGTGGTAGGTGATGTTTATGTGCTCAAGCCCTCTGACACTCAGCATATTTCATCCAGCATGTCAGACCTGTTAAATGTAAGAAGCAGAAAAGAGATTTTATCACTGTGCGTAAGCAGATTTTTGATGTCACTTCCTTTTAACTTAGTTTGTGTCACCAACTGTGAGTGCAGAATCCTCAAAAAATCGTGTGCTTTGTCCCAAACCATTTACTCACAGTCATATTATTTACATTATTTATTTATATTTATTAATTTATTCAGTGAATTCATAATTCAAAGATTTAAGAAAAATTCAGTTGCGAGGACACAACAACCTTTTGGAAATACCTGGACCCCAAAGACACAGCTGTTCTGTTCAGTTTCTAACAGAGACAACTGCTTTGCCCAAAGACTTCAAAAATGAAATGATCAATGTCAGTAACTCTTTTCAACATCTTTCCTCTCTCCAAACTGCAGCTGAGCTCAGACCAGTGAGAGCAATGAAACCTCCAGCTTATGTTCCAATGCAGGCGAGGACCTATGATGGGCCCTCTGGACAGCCTGGAGGATCTGTATTGGTTCAGCACACCAGTGTGAACATCGTCACTGAGCCTCCAAAGGACCATTTTATCTGGTCCCTCCTCTGCTTTGCCTACTTAAACCCCTGTTGTCTTGGACTTGCAGCTCTCATTTATTCTATCAAGGTGAGGTTAATTAAATCAGTTTTTTGAGCATCTGTTATTCTTCTGAGTGTTTGTGTCTGTGTGTGCATTTGTGTGCATGAATAAATATATCAGTTTTTAACTGGCTGCTTACTATGACCTACATTATATTGATTTGACCATATAGATCAAGTTAATATCCATGAACTCCAACTACACTTTTACAATCTATATGTTTCTGTCCTTTTAGGCCAGAGACCGGAAGGTGGTTGGAGATTTGGAGGGTGCACGGCATTATGGGGCCACTGCTCGCCAGCTTAACGTCACCTCCACAGTCCTGGTTGCCCTTGGACTCCTGTTTTTCATTATTACAATGATAGTTGTATTGGAAGGGGTATATCATTAAGCTCTCAAAGTAACAAACCCTGACAAAACGCTTCCTTTTAACAGATTGCAGTGCATTGCTTGCTGCTGTGACTTATCATTAAAGAATTTGGATGATAAATATTAGCATCAATTTTATTATCAGTCTTCATTATGAGATTTTGACTATGATTTGTCTCTGTTGGCAAGCCTTTTGTTTGGAAAAGATAACATTTCATATATATTGTTTTTTCATATTTCAGTGAAGGTAAATGCATATAAAGATGATTTTTAGATAATTAATTTAATGTTTGTGCCTATCTATCTACACCCAGGTGAAAAATAAGCACACTGCATTTGGCGTTTGCGAAATTACATACGGAACAATGAATGACAGTATACGGAATTCTTCTTTGTTCACAAAAACCTTTTTTCTGTAGCTGTGGATGATGCTGCATATTCACTGACGGGGATCTCAGCTCATTTGTTGCAGGAAAATCTTTTTATTGAGAGGTTTCATTTTCCACTCACTAATATTCCACAGAAACAGTGTGGACATTTCATCCCCTTAGAATTTGTTCGATTTAGAGAATTAAGAGTTGATTTGTATGCTATGTTATAATAAATATAATCTTTGAGATTTAACCCTTTAAAGCCGGTCGGAGCGGACACGCTCCATTTTGCGTAACTATTTTTAAATCCCGGTAGCACTGCAACCACGTAAGCTAGCGCAATAATTTTTTTTGCATATGAAACCGGAGGAGTTGTACTTACATCTTATGCCATCAGCTTGTCCTAGGTCACAGTTTCCTTCCACATATAGCTTTGCAAAAACTGCATAAAAAGCACTTGCAGCAACAAAAACATAATATTCCAGAAACACGCTTTGCCGATCCGATCAGCTGTTTGTAACACTTCCTACGTCCATCAGCGTGAACTATCGCATGTCCGCCATGACCTGCCCGAAACCGGAAGTGACGTCATTTTGCGGAAATGTAGTTTTTTACCATGGGGCCTTATGAGCCTATACTTGTGTTTTTAAAAGTTATGTTTGACTTTATGACTTTCTGTGTCGTTTCTGGGATGCTTAGGACTCATATTGCACTGCTGGAAATAGTTTATTTTGATGCATATGCTGTTTTTTTGCAAATTTGCATTATAATATTTATTTTCGTTTTTCCTGCAGTATATAAAAATTGGTGTATTTCAAAAATAAAACTATGAAGACACTCAAAATAAATTTCCTGTGGTGGGAAACTATTTTGTGCAACTTTTTTGTATTTACAGTTTTGAGGGATAAGCCTCTTAAATTTCTCTAACTAGAAATATATGTTAAAAAAACAAAAACGATTTTCAATTTTTTTGTAGTTTATTGCACTTTTTTGCAATTTATGTAATTACTATGCACTTAATGCAGACATATTATTAAAGTTTGGGCTATAATGGTTGTATTGATGTATAGCAACTTGAAATGCTCCCAAAAATGGCTCCACAGCATGTAAAAATATAATATAAGCTCTGGCGGACTTGGTTCTATGGTAGGTCTTAAAGGGTTAAATGGTGTTGGACTGTAACTCATTAAAAAATGTATTTCCTAGGGTTGGGTTTTTTGTTTGTTTTTTAGATTCCATTGATTTCTAGGAGCTCTTGTAGCCTCGATAGCAATTCCTTCTTCCTTTTTAGAAATGAATATTGTAGTTTAATATCTTAGAATGGAAATAGTCTACTACACGGGTGTTCACTGTTCATAGACACAAAGTACACTTTTCTTGGCTTCTACCTCAAAGCAAATTGTGCGCTGTCGATCCTGCATGCTCCACAACAACATTCAATATTTAGTATTAACTGTTATTTACTGTTAGCTAGAATATTGTGATGGTGTTGTGTTTATAATGTTGCTCTTTCTTTGCTTGTTTTCTCTTTTTTCCTTTTTTTCTCTCTCAACGGGTGATCTGGGAGATTTCTTTCTTTGTAAGTGCCCTTTCTCACTGTCCCGCTTCTCCTCTGTTTTTCTTTTCCTTCATCTTTCTTTCTCCCTTTCCAATCCCCCAGCCATGTCTGTCCTATCTGTAACAACTGAAAATAAAATAAAACAAAAATAAATAGTAACAACAAAGGTCGATCAAATGGACCAATTTGGCAAGGCCGTGATGCTCCACTTGTAAATCCTTCCTGGCTGTCAGACAACAATTCTGACGGCTAAAGAACCAAATAGGACAGGCAAAAAAAAAAAAAAGGATTGCATCAAACAGTCTGGTCTAATGGTCCACTGCTAAAATATCCATTTAATATTATTATATTAATTATAAAATAACTGCGTTACAAACTACAAAATTAGTTAGAAAATGTAAAGATAAATAAAGATAACCTTACGCACCCCTATGATATGCACCGTATTTTGGATGGAATCCAATAATGATACTCCCGGTGGTAACACATATTCCAGCCATGTATTCCAGCCCTAACCCTAACCTTAATTCTAACTTAACCCAACCCATAATCTTATTCCTAACTCTGTCTCAGACCTTCGGACAGTGCACATCTCTATTGAGAGCCCTTCAACAGCCAGGACTTCACTTTTTTTTTCTCTTTTCATGTGCTTCTCACCTGAGGAAAGCTTTACATATCCAGTCATCCACCCATTCATTCACACACTGGTGATGGCAAGCTACATTGTAGCCACAGCCACCCTGGGGCGCACTGACAGATGTGTGACTGCTGGACACTGGCGCCACCGGACCCTCTGACCACCACCAGTAGGCAAACATGGGGTTAGTATCTTGAGCTACAGCCACCCCATACAAGCATGAATTTTGACCCTATTTTTCTTCTTTTCAGCTGATTGGTCAATGTCATGTCAATCACAAATTTAACTATCCAATCAGAGAACAGATGGGTTTGGCTGTCGGAGGGGCGCTTTTTTGAACTGCAGGTCCTTGAAGGGTAATACAGTTTGAAGCTGGAAGATCTCTATATAAATATCCGATAGAAGCTAGGACCCCTCAGTGTTGTCAACTTAGCGACTTTGTCAGTATATTTAGCGATTTTTCAGACCCCACTACTACTATATGTATGTATGTATGTATATATATATATATATAATGTTCTTCCTCTACACCCCCCCCCAATTTTTCCCACACACTCCAAAGGACACCTTTTGGATCTTGTTTGCTGTACAGGTGTCACCCCAAAGAACTGTGCTGTATTGGACATGCCTTTTTCAGACCATAAATTAGTTTTATTCAGCGTTAGACTCCCACTATACAAAAATAAACAAAACTGCTCAATTACTTTTAGAAATATTAGGGGCATTGAACTATCAGCTCTTTCCCATGGCATTAATAATTTACCTACCATTGATGCCTCAGCTTCCATAGACCACCTGATATCTCACTATAACATTGAACTTATCAACCTCTTAGATACCTTGGCTCCCCAAAAAACTCAAACTGTTTCTTTCTCTCGCTCTGTGCCATGGTATTTATCTGAACTTCGCCAACTTAAAGCTACTGGACGCCGCCTGGAACGTCTCTCCAGGAAAACAGGACTTACTATTCACGAAGACATGTATCTCAGTCATATACAACATTATAAAGAAGCTATTCATCATGCTAAATCTGCCTACTACACCTCTGTTATTGAATCCGCTGTAGGAAACACTCACGTTGTTTACTACATTGCATAATATTGTTAAAACCCCAGATATCTTTGCCATACATACACACTCTTTGTGTATGCATACACACAGTTTGCAACAAATTTGCAACCAACATTGAGAATCTTTATCAACAACTGTCCTCGTCCTGTGATATGGTCAATTGTTCTATCTGCATTTTCTACATTTTTTGTCCTTCTCAGCTGCCATCCCCTCTATCCAATTTTGAACTTCCCACAATAACTCAGCTATCTTCCATAATTACTAACTTAAAGTCATCATCGTGTAAACTTGATCCACTGCCGACTAATCTTGTTAAACTCGCTCTCATCTCTTGCCCCACTGACTGCTAATATCGTACACTCCTCTCTTAAATCTGGTTCTGTTCCTTCTTCTCTTAAAACTGCAATAATAATCCCAATACTGAAAAAGAATGGTTCAGATCCCTCCAATCTAAATAATTTCAGGCCAATTTCAAATCTCCCTTTCTTAGCAAAAATTCTGGAAAAGATAGTGGCTGCACAGGTTCATCGTCATCTTACTGGAAATAACTTGTATGAACAGTTTCAGTCCGGCTTCTGTTCATGTCACAGTACAGAAACAGCCCTAGTAAAAACCACCAATGATCTTCTGCTTGCAGCTGACTCTGGATTTATCTCCATCCTCATTCTCCTTGACTTTACAGCAGCTTTTGATACTATCTCCCACCGCATCCTTCTTCACAGATTAGCATCTATTGGCATCAATGGTACAGTCCTCGCCTGGTTTACCTCTTTCATCTCTCTGGCCGCTCACAGTTTGTTCAATTACTCCATCACAGATCAGTATCTACTCCAGTTAATTCCGGTGTACCCCAAGGCTATGTCCTGGGTCCTTTACTTTTTATCATCTATCTCCTCCCCGTAGGTAATATTTTTAGGAAGCATAACATCCAGTTTCCCTGCTACGCAGATGACACACCGCTCTACCTATTCTCAAAACCTACAGCTGCTCTCCCACCTACATCCATTTCTGACTGTCTAAGTGAAATCAAGGTCTGGTTTACTCACAACTTTCTTAAACTTAATGGCAATAAAACAGAATTCATTTTAATAGGCACCAGATCAAAACTGACTACAGTTCCAACCAGTCTTTATCCATTGATACCTCTGATGTCACACCCTCACCCCAGGTTAAGAGTCTTGGTGTCATCCTTGATAGCACTCTATCCTTCACAGCCCATATAAATAATATCACTCGGTCTTCCTACTTTCATCTCCGTAACATTAACCGCCTTCGTCCCTCACTCACTCCACACAGTACCTGCCATACTTGTCAATGCTCTTGTCACATCTCGTTTAGATTACTGTAATTCTCTTTTCTATGGTCTACCTCATAAATCCCTCCATAAATTGCAGTTATTCCAAAATACTGCTGCTCGTATTATCTCCAGAACTAGATCCACTGAACATATAACACCAGTTCTTAAACAGCTCCATTGGCTTCCA